TTAGGTTTTTTGTAATTTACAGATATATTATATGAATAGTAAATAAAATAAACAGGTCATTTTTTTTGTAATGAAATATTATGGAAGACTATTAATTATGAGTCAGAAATGAGATATGTCATGAAGAAAAGAAAATATTCCAATTTATATCACCTGAATCAACTTATACATTGTACCATAATTCAAAAAACCTAAAAGTGAACTCAATCATCCATATAACCCTCAAAAACTCTATGAATTTTAAAGGTGCCTGAAATGCTGAAGATACATATATATGCGTATATATAAATTGAAGAAATCATACAGCAATCACTTCAGCCTCAAATCACAAAATGAAAATGATACTTTGGTTTGAATGCCGATTATTAACCTTAAAGAAAGTTTCTATCCAAGCTCTTAAAATCAAATCAGACAGAATTTATCTTTAAGACAGTGACATATTAATTAAAATATCTCTTTTTATGACTCCTGCAATTATGTAAGCTTAAGAAGCTAAACATTTGATATCAATTTTTGCATTTTAAACAATTTTATTCAAAGAAAAGGCCTAAACTGCCTAATGTTTTTCAAAATGAAGAGCTGAAAATTTCAATGAACTAAAACTCCCTTATTGTAGCTGCTAAAAAAGCTAATCTTCATTCTCATAGCTAAAATACTATCTAATGTCAAATATGTTAAAGATATAATAAAAAGCATATAAGCATACTCAGCCAAAGATAACGACTCCCTGCTATTACTATCTTCTTCCTCAAAACACTCAATAGCACTCAAACATTCTTCGATATTTGATTGGAGAACATCTTCAATTTCATCTTTTTCCACGCCAAAATGTATCTCTTCCCAGTCAGAACTACAAAACTAACGTATCAAAAGATTGCATTAAATGATGGGCTCATGGAATTATTTATGTTAACAAAGATATTGACTAATAACTATTTTTTTTTAAATTTATATTACCTGATAAAATCCACATATGGCCTGTACTGCAAAGAACCACTTCTTGGAACCAGGTATACCGCCCACCGAACAGGCTTGAAAACAAAATCACACTTATTAGAGGAAAGGCTTAT